GTTACTGCCCATCTCTGTTCATGACGTAGTCACCTGAACTCGGTTTCACTTCACAGGTGAGCCTTGTGAGGGTTTAGTTGTTGCCTTCTTAATGGAGCTGGGACCATCAGTTGTGTTGTATAGAAGTCAGGTTGGTGCACAGCTGACAGCTCTATTTGACAACTGTTAGAATTCATATTATGGCAAGAACCAATCAGCTACGTAAAAAAAGGGCAGTCCATCATCACTTTAAGAACTGAAGGTCAGTCAGTCGAAAAATTGCTAAAACTTTGAATATGTCCCCAAGTGCAGTCGCAAAAACCATCAAGCACTTTGACAAAACTGGCTCACATGGGGACCGCTGCAGGAAAGGAAGACCCAGAGTCCCTCTGCTGCTGAGGATACATTCTTCCGAGTCACCAGCCTCAGAAATCACAAGTTAACGGCACCTCAGATTAATGTCACACAGAGCTCCAGTAGCAGACACATCTCTACATCAGCTGTTCAGAGCAGACTGTGTGAATCAGGCCTTTATGGTCAAATGGCTGCTGAGAAACCACGACTAGGGAAAAGCAACAAGGAGAAGAGATTTGTTTGGGCCAAGAAGCACAAGAAATGGACATTAGACCAGAGGAAATCTGTGCTTTGGTCTGATGAGTCCAAATTTGAGCTCTTTGGTTCCACCTGCTATGACTTTGTGTGACACAGAAACAGTAAATGGATGGTCTCTACAAGCATGGTTCCCATCATGAAGCATGGAGGAGGATTGTTGTTATGATGGTGCATTGCTGGTGACACTGTTGACACACTGTGCCTTCAACATTGAAGACTCACTGAACCATCATAGCTACCACAGCATCCTGACCAAGAAGAAGAGTGATGGAGTGCTGCGCCACATAGCCTGGCCTCCACAGTCACCTGACCTAATTCCAGTGGAGATGGTTTGTGATGAGATGGACCGCAGAGTGAAGACAAAAGGGCCGACAGGTGCTCAGCATCTCTGAACTCCTTCAAGACTGTTGGAAACCATTTCAGGTGATGACCTCATGAAGCTCATGGAGAGAATGCCAAGAGTGTGCAAAGCAGTAGGCAAAGCAACAGGGCGGCTATTTAGAAGAATCTAAAATATAAAACACGTTTTTTCATGTTATTTCACACTTTTTGTTTAACACATACATGTGTGTTCATTCATAGTTTTGATGCCTTGAGTTAGAATCTAAAATGTAAACAGTCATGATAGTCAAAAACAGAAAAAACTCTCTTTATAGTTAACAAGACCAGAAAAGGCTCCAAAAAAGAGTCCTTATCTGCTTAAATGCAAAATAGCAGAAAATCTATATGAAATAATCTGTATAATAATATATAATACACTTTTATTTTAAAAATGCGCTGCATTCAGAAGCATTTCAACAGTAACATTCCCAGAGTAACTGACAGAACATGGCGGCATTTCTAAATGGTAAATGGCCTGTATTTGTAGAGCGCTTTACTAGTCTCTAAGGGCCCCAAAGCGCTTTACACATTCAGTCATCCACCCATTCACACACTGGTGATGGTGTAACGTGCGGTGGAGATGAAGCCAGCCACGGAGGTGTGCAGGTGGATAGCGAATGAGCGACAGCTGCTGACTTTCCAAAAAGTACTCATTTATTTACAATATCAAA